ATCTGGTATTATCAGCTCACAGATCAGGTGAAAGAGAAGAATAGATAATATGGAGTGTGGCTGGATAAAGAGATCAGGAAAATACATATAGAAAAACAGAAATACTGATAGCTGACATTTCAAGCTAGTCAGATGAATAGTGGGGCTCCCATCTATTACAATTAAAACTCAGTCATGCTAATAAACAGGGTTAAAAATGGGTGAGCAGCTTCTTTTTTCAAAAAAAAATATATATATATAGCTGCTATAACAATGATTCATTCTAGTTACCAGGCTGAGGCCTGTGACAGTCTGTATCCCTATGTTCACCCCTTCTACAACACTATGTTAAATTTTGTACAAAGCATTCCATGTAAGGTATCATTTGAAAACTCATAATTTGCTGATCATTATTGTCCTGGTAAAATACGTGTGGCAACAACATTGTACATAGAGAGAGAAGATTCCATTGTATAATGTTACCAAGACATGTTCCAACATGTTCTGGAGGCCAGTCATAAACAAGTTCCCCAGAGGTAAAAGGCTAGCCAACACCTCAGCCAGGTGTCAATGAGATCAAATGGACCAACCTCTGATTAAGTGGACAGGAGAGATAGTATGGGGAAAATCTAAATTTTGACAAAGAAGTAGTTTAAGGTTCCTAGGCATGCAGACTTTGTCTCCTAACCTCACCTACAGATGATTCTCGTGCAAGAGAAAGGGCTATAAGAGAGAGGGCAGATGCCCCAATTCATTTCTCCCTTGCTCTCTACCCTCGGCATCATCATCCAGCAGCACTGGACTGGGGGGAGATCCTGACTGAAATTGGTTCAGCTAATATGACTGCTGGAACATGTGGTGAGAGAGACCCTTGCTTTGTATTCACTTAGCTTGTTAAATGAGGTTGTAGTTGTGTTTTACCTTTTGTTTGCTTGCAGCCAATTCTGACTTATACGTCTCATTACGTGTAGTCACTTAAAATCTATCTTTCTTTAGTTGGTAAATTTGTTTTGATGTTTTATCTAAACCAGTGTGTTTGGATTGAAGTGTTTGGAAAGTTCCATTTGGGATCATAAGATTAGTGCATATCATTTTCTAGTAATTAAATGATGGATTTTATATGAGTTTGTATTGTCCAAAAGAGTGCAGGGCAGTCCAAGACACACATTTGTGGGGGAAAGTCTGGAGCTGTGAGTTTGTTGGTGTTGCTTTGCAGTGTAATTCATGAGTGACTGGCTATAGCACTCATACAGTATAACTGGGAGTGATTTACATGCTGGAGGCTGTGTGTGAGCAGCCCGTGAGTGGTTGCACTCACAGTGAAGCAGTGTAAAAGGCACCCCAGGCTGGGGAATTGAGGGGACACGGCTGTCCATCAGATCAAGACTATACCCTGGATAATGTCACAGGGCCCGATCCTGTTACATCTGCAGTCAGCGACAAAACTTCCAATGAATTTCAACTGGAACAGGATCAAGCCCTGGATTCTCAATCATTTGCCCCTTCTGGATAACCCTTAACCTTCATGTAGAGATTGTTCTAATCCATTGGCATGAGCTGCTTAGATCTCTTGCTATGTCTAGTGAGAACTGATGAGCCTTAGGGCATGTCTACACTTACCTCCGGAGCAATCGATCCAGCGGGGGTCCATTTATCGCGTCTAGTGAAGATGCGATAAATCGACTGCCGAGCGCTCTCCCGTCGACTCTGGTACTCCACTGGAGCAAGAAGCGTAGGAGGAGTCGACGGGGGAGCATCAGCTGTCGACATACCGCAGTGAAGACACCGCAGTAAGTAGATCTAAGTACGTCGACTTCAGCTACGTTATTCACGTAACTGAAGTTGCGTAACTTAGGTCGACCCCCCCCCCCCCACGTATAGACCAGGCCTTAGAGAAATAAGCAATCCCAGTGTATACAGATTACCTCCGTATGCAGCAGAAGTAGAAGCTTGATCTTCAGTTGACTCAAACAAGCTGGTGTGTACATTGTCTCCTTGAGGATAGCAAACCTGACAATGTGTGTGTGTGTGTGTCCAGTGGGGAAGGGATGGACACAGCAGGGAGCATTTCGAGGAGCCATGGGTTGGTGCGTGCCTCTCACTAGCCAGAGAGAGTGAGATCTATGGTTTCAGGGAGCTGAGCTACAGCAGACACAGACAAGCCCACCACATGCCAAGGGCAGGTAGTGGTGAGGTGCCCGGGTTCACAACCCTGGGTACACCTGGGAGCATCACACTGCCTTTCCAGGAGCATGGTTCTGTTTTGTCTCTGTGCTCCTGGGGGGACACAGTACTCCATGAGGGCCAGACTTGGCTTGCTCTTTGGTGCATCATACAAAGGGCTGCTGTTGTGGGCATGCAGAATTCTGCTTCCTGGGGATCCTGCAGGATGGGATGGCTCTATGCCACCCTATACTATAGGCTGTGCCTAAATGGCACATAATAATCCTAATGATGTCAGAATGAATAGCTGCCAGGGGACTCTGAATGTCTATGCTTTTGCTCGAAAATCTCACCCTTCATGTTGCATTAAATTTACTTTTTCTTTTGTGTTCTCCCTTTGGGCAAAACAGAATGATGGTAGAAAGTATTTTCATGCTGAGGGCCTCTGAGTTTCTCCCCAGCTGCTTACACAATAAAGTGATGACCCCAAGCCCATGGAAGTCAATGGGAGTCTTTCCATTGACTTCAAAAGGATTTAGATCAGGCGATAACATCAAAGGAAATAAAAGCTATTGACTGGTTTTAGTACATAAAAATGTAAAGGCCCAATTCTTCTCTCTTACGCTGATGTACATCAGGACTAACTCCACTGAAGTCAGTTGAATAACACCGGTGTAAAACCAGCGTAAGGGAGAGGAGAAGCTTACACAATTTTCCCTGATGCCTGCTTCAGCTTCAGCCCAAATTTCCCAGTTCACTAATAGTGATGGTTTTCACATCTTCAGCTGACTCCTTCACCTGATTCAACTTATGTGTGGTGTAAGATGTCTCCATGCGGTGTGATTCATTATTACAGCTAACAGCAGTGCAATCACCCCTTTGCAAATGCAGGGGAATCTATTTTGTGTTCTTTTGGTTTGCTGGCAGTGATGGCTTCAATGGCAGGAGTAATATATGTTTACTTTTTGCTCTGCTGTCATCGATGAGCTGGTACGTTCCAAGGTGGCTTTGCAGAGCTAAAGGGTTGTCAGATCGTTTTATTAAATAGACAAGTAATGTTAGAAATAGCAACAATATACATGAACAAAATGATCATTTCTGGCCATGTAACCTTAGTGAAGATGTGAGAAAACACAATAGCTGCATGCCTACATAAACCTTCAAACATGAGATACATTTCAAGACTCTGGTTAGTTTATATAATGTGTCTGCAAGCCACTGTGAAAAGGATTTATTATTATTATTATTATCATCTTCATTAAAAAAAAACATCACTTATAATTTACTTCTCATGTGTTGTTGCATCTAGCTGGATTCTCTTCTCTTCTTTTTTTCTTTTCATTACTAGGACAGATATATGAATTTTGTGCTTTGCTGTAGTTTATAGTTTTATAGAGTAATGGTATTTGGTAAGTGTATTTTTGAAGGTTGCATTTAGAAATGAAATGCTTATGGCTATTATATTTATGCTGTCTCTTTGGAAATGTCAGGTTTTTTAATAACATTTCTGCATGTGTCAGATTTAAACCACTCTGACAACTAGATGGTGGTGATATCATATAGTTAGTGGGAAGTTGTATTAAGTCGCATAGCCATAAAACGGAGAATGGAGATGAACTGATTTCTGACCTGTCATCTTACCTTATTATTCTGCAGAATAATATATAAGAGACTTTCACTATATTTGTCAACAATTACTGAACAATGTTTAAATTACAAATGGGCCTTAGCCAGAACATTGGTTCCAGCCCCTCTGAAATCCAGAGTAAGGGCATGTCTACACACACAGCACTGCATCGGGTGAAGACGCTCTATGCTGAAGAGATAGAGCTCTCCCTCGGCATAATAAAACCACCTCAGCGAGCAGCGGTAGCTATGTCAGCAGAAGAAGTTCTCCTACCAACAAGTGCCAGTGTAGACAGCGCTATAAGTCGGTGTAACTCATGTCACTGAGGGGTTGTTTATTCACACCTCTGAGCATAAGTTATGCCGACATACGGTGTAGAGTAGACATAGACTAACTCAGATCTATTTGTGCAGCAGGCCAAAAACATAGGCCTCAATTTTCAACAGAGACTAATAATTTTGGGAGCCTTCATTCTTGGTTGCCCAACTCGAGACACTTTAGAATGGGGCTTGTTTTTCAGGACAGATGCTCAGCACTTTTGCACAAATCTGTCTCTCCAAAAGTTGCCTCTACAACAGCACAGCATGTCTTCCCAAGAGTCAAAACTTGCTTGCATACTAAGAAAAAGAATTTGGAAAAGTTTGTGTAGCAGCAGCACTTACTAACACCTTCCACAGCAGCATTGTTTCTCCTCTGATATATATTAAACATTTTCAGCAATCACTGAACTTTCTCTCTGAAGAATTCATTTATTCCTCCTCCAGAAAACAGCTTACAGAGTGATGGGTTACACTGGCCTAATAATAGGAGTGGAAATGTAGAGTCTAGTTGTAGAAAAGAAGGTCTTGAGGCTAAAGTTCTTAGGCACATAACTAACTTGAAGTATGTTCTTACACCTATTGACTCCAAAGGAAACACTCACATGATTAAAGTTACACCCATGCTTTAGTCACATTGTTAAATCAAGGTCTTTGACTGTAAACTCTTTGGGGGCAGGGACTGTCTCTTAGTGTGTGTACAGTGCCTAGCACAATAGGGCCCAGATTCGGGTTACGGGCGCTAGTTGATATAGATAATATTGGTGCCTATTATAGTCAGTATGGACCTGCATTATGTTCGCAGGAGCCCCATGCCCTTAAGAGCCACAATGCCTCTCGAGCCACCAGTAAAACAGGGCAAAATTTTAATTCTGATTTAATTCTTCTTACCTCAAAGATTTAATTCTGCTTACCTCAAAATCTTCCCTGAAAGTCGCCACTGTATTTCTGATCTTCTTCACTTTATCTGAGATCTTGTTCTTTGATTCACAGCTGGAGACCAGGAAAGATGGTTGGTGACATGGGTAAGGATTGCTTTTTTTTTTTTTTAACCTGAGATCTATTTAAGGTCAGGAAATCAATGCACTTTTTCCTCTATCTATATTACAACTATGCCCTTATTGTTGTATTTCTTTTGAGCTATTTTCCCTTATATCCCCTCAGTATGTTGCATTCCATTTCTATTTTTCCTCCTCTTCTTTTTTCTTTAAAGGGAGATTATTTGCTTTTGCAACAATTATAAGGTCCCAAGAAAGAAGTTATCAATCTACAAGTCAGCTGAAACTGCTAAGATAGTTTCCCTTCACCAAAGCTGCCAGTTAACTCAGCTTTGATTTGGAGACATTAGCCTCACCCAAAGTGAGAGATGAATGGCAGCCCCCCAACCTTTTTACTTTTTATCTTAAATGATGGAGTTAGCATTCATGAGGGCACTAGAAACTGAAGCTGTCTCATTAGCTACATTCGGCAAAACAGGCACCATAGCAGGGTTAGCATCCATATACTTTTCCTCATGAGTATTCTCTATGGACCAGCTCTGTAACTGAGACTTTTCAAGGGACATTGTCAACTTGAATTTCTGAATTTGACTAGTTTACTAAAAAAAAGTAAATTTTCTGGTGGAGCAGCCTTAAAACAGTATGGCTTGAGTTAAAAAAAATAATCTTTGAATATTTAAATATTTCTTTAAAATGTTGATAAAGTGATTGGTTTGTTTTTCTTTTCCTGGTGATATTTATACAAGTCTTTTTCAGCAGAGGAGAATAGGTGGGCCCAATACCTACACACACTTTTTGAGTGATATCCCTAATTTCAAAATCAGTAAGTAAATATAAAAAGGTCACTAACATGGTTTCCGAGCCAGCAAAGCATTAAAGCAGGTGATTAATTTTAAGTGTGTGAACAGTCACATTTAAATCAGTGAGATCACTCGCACGCTCAGAGTATTTTGTTGGATATGAGTTTAAATTTCAATTGTTTCATAGGTGCATAGAAAACAATAAGAAAACATAAATACACACACATGCACACAGGTGTAAGGTTAGTCAGAGACATGAATTAGTGATCTGAGCACAGAAGCCAGAAATTCCTAAGTTCCAATGTCACTCCTGACTCTGATTCCACTCTGTGACCTTGGAAAAGTCATGATCTCTGTGTCTTAGGGCTTGCCTACACAAACATTTAGTTCACGGCAAGCTGGGATATAAATCTATCCGCACTAGCCTGCCACATGCTATGGGTCTGTATGGACTTGCTGACACACACTAACAGTTCTTTAGTACTGTTTGATCTATTTTAGTTTCAAAGTGGGGTAGATCAAAAGGCACTAAGGAACTGTTAGTGTGCGTCAACCAGGTCCATAGGGACACTTGGGCTATGTCTATACTTGGAGCTGGGAATGTGATTCCCAGCGTGTGTTAGACCTACTTGCGCTAGCTCCCATAGAAATTGCATGCTAAGAATAGCGTAGCTGTGGTAGCTCTGGCAGCGGTGACATAGGCTAGTGCCCCAACTTCAAACCAGATCCCAGGGGTACATCCTCAGGGCTGCTAGCCCATACCGCTGCTGCCCATGCCACTGCGGCTGCACCACTATTTTTAGCATACTAAATTGATGAGAGCTAGCAGAAGTATGTCTACTCAAGCTGGGAATCACACCCCAGCTCCAAGTGCAGACATAGCTGTTGTGTGTGGCAGGCTGGCAAGGCATAGATTTAAACCCAGCTTGCCCCAAACTAAATGCAAGTGTAGAGAAGCCCACAGTTTCCCTATCTGTAAAATGGGGACAATAAAATGTATGCACCTGTCTGTCACATAGCAGCGCTCTGAGAAGTAATCAGTTTTGTCTGAAAAGTGCCTACAAGATGCAAAGAATGGTACAGGTTTTCAGTATTCTATTATGATTGTGAATTCTTTGGAGAAGCACGTATTTCAGAGTTATAAATACCTGTATAACAAATGTAACTTAATCTGCATGAGGAAATAAAGGACTTGGAGGGGGGAAATTTTCCGTTTGTATTAAATGGTCATGGACATGTATAATAATGAGCAGGAGGGACACTGACTGATGTGCGGATGCCAACACAAAAACCTTCTCCCTGTATGAATTGAAAATTTGGGGTGAAATCCTGGTGCCCCTGAAGGCAATAGCTAAGCTCCCACTGACCTCAGTGGAATCAGGATTTCACCCCTAGCGGTTAGTGGCCCAGGGATCTCTTGATACCAACTGGCAGAGGACACAGGACATACACAGGGTTTTACAGGGATCCCCTGGGTGGGATATCTGCATAATAGTTCATGTGGCATGAGAGGTCTCTATTCAGAGCCAGTCTGGTCATCATAATCATTGTGAAATGTATGCACAGATAACATTTACAGCGATACGTAGCTATATGGAAAATTATGTTCCTAAGGTCTTGGAGTTTAGGAAGGTCATGAGGAGGTCACGTGGTGTTCATTAAACTTATACTGGATTTGACTGTAAACATATCTCAGTGCTGTGAGTTAAACAGAGCAGTGATCTGAGGGGGAACTGGTAAGCTGGGGGTGCTGCTTCTTTGCAAGCAGTGAATCTGTGAACATTGTGAGTGCTCTGTGGAGCAGAGGCTGAACACCTACATGGACATGCTTGGAGAGCTAGAGGTTTGGAGTGGGCCAATCTGTAGAGTGACAGTGGGGCCTGCAAGGCCTAGAGGGGAGAGCTTGTGTTGCACATGGTCAGTGGGGTTGGAAAGGTGAGCCACAGCAGGTACAGATGAGGCTACCTCATGCTAAAGGCAAGTGGTAGTGAGATGCCTCACGGCCCTGGGAGGATTTGCCCACATTCATCTTTCAGAGATGCTCCCTTCTATTCTTCTTAAATTCATTACTTGTAACTGTTGTAAGATACAAGAATTTACACATAGCACTGGAATAAATTGCCTATGGAGGTTGTGGAATCTCCATCATTGGAGGTTTTTAAGAACAGGCTAGACAAACACCTGTCAGGGATGTTCCAGTTATTACGTAGTCCTGCCCTGAGTGCAGGGGACAGGACTAAATAACGTATTGAGGCCCCTTCCAGTCCTACACTTCTGTGATTATACAGCAAATATAAAAAGACATTTTCTGCAGTATTGACAAGGGCACAGGCTGTGACTTACCTACATTCTTATGCACATGCTTAGCTTTAAGCAAAATCATTTTTTTAAATGGGTCCTTTAAGAAATATAGTACCTTTTTTACTGTCCCAAATGATCTCAGAAACAGAACAACACAGACTCTTCAAACTCCCACATAGTTAAAATTCACTGAAATCTGTATATTGGCTACATATGATTTGGGGGGAGGGTTAATCATAATTTTCCCACATTATTTATTACATTTTATATAAAAAATGCTTAATTTGAAGCTCAAAGAGCATTGTTTAATGTTGACAGATTCAGCAACGTGTTGGTTAATTCAGATTGTGAGGGAAGGGTTTCTTACTCAAAGAAAATGTAAAAAATTCAGGCTATATAATTGCATAAATAATCTGGAGTACTTGTGGGAACACAAGAAAAGAGGTCAAATATAACTGCTTCTAGGGATAGAAGATCTGTATGGAGCATATGCTAATATATCATTTTTAGACTATTCTTTTTAAAATATGTAAATAGCTGATTTTAAAATTATATCCCTCAATCTGAAAGGTAATCATAATCTGAGTATAATTGAAGAGAGACGTATTTCCCTGTTGAAGAAACAAAATTGCCTTTTTGCAAAAGAACCACTATTTCTAAAGAGCATAACAAATTGACAAATTAAATGGAATGTGTGTGGATCTGCTATATGCCATCTCTTATCACTCTAAAAGTACACAAGGAACCTCCGTTTGAAATCTCCTCTAAAACCTGGGATACAGAGATCTGTTTTCATGTAGTAGAAAGGGACAGAAGGCATGGAGTTATTGTTGGTTAATGTCTCCCTGCAGTGCTATTGTGAAGAAAGGTTGAAAGAATTGGTCATGTTTAGTCTAGATAAAAGAAGACTGAAGGTGGGACATGATAACAGTCTTTGACTATGTAAAAGATTATTGAACAGGTTAGACAAACACCCATCAAGGATGGTCTAGGTCTTTTTCCTGCCTCAGCATAGGGGATGGACTTTATGATTTCTTGATGTCTCTTTGAACTCTGCATTTCTATGATTCTAACCTCTGGGAGAGAAGAAAACCCAGATCTTCTGAATCCTAGTCCAGTGCCTTAACCATTAGGCCATCTCCCCCTCTTTTGCCTGCTGTCTTCCAGGTGTTAAGAGCAGAGCCAACTCTGAGTCATGAACTGAACAGGCTCCAGTCAACACAGGCCCAAATCACCATTTTGAAGAAGGAGAAATGCCTCCCTTGACAAGGTGTTGTTGTTGTGCACACCTGGAGTTGTGCGCTGAGGTACCGATGGCCTTCAATGCATACCAACTCCACCAGTGCTTCGAGGTCTAGCTGAACCATCTGTATGTTGGGAGGTTTTGATCTGAAGTCTACTTTAAACATTCTGAGCGATGATCATATGGTCCATTCTCATTGACGAGGACAGGCAGGTGTTGAAACTTCTTAACAATGACCCTATTGTATGTGATGAAAGTATTGGACTCTGTATAACTGCCCCAATTGCAGACTGTGTTTTGACCATGCTGTAACTTTGAAAATATCATCAGATGTATTTCATGTTAAAAAAAAAAAAGGATCTGGCCAAGTACTGCTTGAGCTTCTCCACAACATTTCCTACCGTAATTTCTTAAAAACTGACTGCCCTCTTTAATGGACAACAAAATTCAAGCAGGTGAATTAAACTATTGATTGATCATTTTTGATAAAGAATAGCCTTGAATAGTAGTTTGATGGAAGGAAAAGGAGAAAAAACAGTATGAACTGTAAGTTCCTGCACCACATGCTGACAGCAATGAAAGGAAATAACGTGATTTTTATGCATGTGATGTCAAATGTTGGCTTTTCTTACCTCAGAAAAAAAATAGAGT